AGGTGGAGTCTGTGGGTGGGAAACACTTCCATCTGCTGACAACATACATTTTAACAACGGATTTAAAAATCCTACATACAAAAATCTCAAGACTCCAATCAGCAAAATCAAACAACAAAAATTAACCGTCTAGTAGAGCTGTCAAAAGACGAGAGGCAGCTCTAATTAACATCCCTTACTTGTTTGAGTTCATACATTAAATCTTCTGATTTGCATTTCTTTAAATAAATCACAAGAGAGGAGCAAAGGAGACAAAAGTGATCTTAAACCTCTGCAAGAAGAACTATAATCTAACAAGTACAATTTAGGATGGGAAAGCGTCCTGGAGTTTTCTCTACATTCAGCTGCTGAAGATTGACGGACTCCTTAAAGACGGAGAATAACAAACATGCAGAACATCACATGACACTGGAACATTACCCCGTCATAGATAACACAGGATTCAGATGAATTATTGCTCCCTGACCTCACGCTACAACATGCGAGGGGTGGTGGGGGGGGTGGGGGGTCCAATGTGCAGTCCAGTCTAAAACTAACTGAACAGTAAAGACTATTTATTTATTTTGCTGTAAACCTAAAACCTGTGTTTAACACTTCGAAGTGAATATCGAAAAGAGAACCCTCATTTCAGCTTTGGTTTCTGGGACTGCGTACAGTGCTTCAAAAAGAAGTTGAAATGTTGGCCTTTCATATTAAAGTCCAGCTCAAATATTTATATTTTAAAGCAAAAATTAAACACTTGGTTGATCCAGTATTTTAGCAGAGAATTTTACTTTTGTTCTAATTGAAACAAAAGCAAACAATGCCATGACTTACAAACTTGCTCATCTTGTTTTGTTGCCAGCGTCGGCGCGTTGTTCATCTGTTTGATGTCCAACATACCTTCACATCATCGCTGGGCTGGAATGATGTCCCAGTAACTACGTGCTGGTCCAGCAGCTCTCGGAGCTGCTTGGTGCTGCACTCCACCTCCTTCAGAGTGGACTCTCGCTTTGCCACCTTCTCAACCTTTTCCTGCTCCTAAGAAGTAACATACTGGTCAAAATGTATTCATACAGTCAGTAATTCATGTAGAACTGACCAGCACCTCCGCGGCCTTCCTCACCTCCTTCATGGTGCTTTTAATCAGCCTGTTGGCAGTCTCCAGGTCTTCAGGACGGCTACTGTTCAGTAATCTTGCTAACAGCTGATGAAATGCACATTTGTTGAGGTAAATAAAACGGAGTAGATGTATTTGTTGGTTTTTGTTTACACTCACAGTCACTCACCGTGGCCTTGTCTTCTTGGTCAAAAACAGATTCGGTGGTTCTTTGTGAAGGCGGGGCCATAATCACTGTGTCCGGAAGTTTGGGATCTTTATTCACAATGTCTAACAAAGGACAGGGAAACAAGAGAGTTATTCTCCAGAGCAACAAGCATCGTCTTTTTGTGCACGTCACTTTAATTTTTAGTTTTAAGTGTAAGGCCGGCGATCTTCTGGGCTGATAAACTTTGAACAGATTGATCATAATTTGTGTTTTTGTTGTTCCTCACTCTGTTTCTTCAGCATGCGGTACGCCTCCTGAATCTTTGGTTCTTCTTTGAGCCAGAGCGTCCAGCCGTACAGGACCTCCGTCACTCTGTCTTTGACTTTCTGTGGAGTCCACGTGCCAAAGTACTGCTCAGAAGAAAAATAAAGAAAATTAATAAGTTCAAGGTAATTTAGACTAGGTTGACATGATCAGTATGGAAAAGATACAATAATAAAACTAGATTTTTTTTTTTGTCCAATCATAATTTAATAAACAACTTCTCCATAAACTACTCTGCAAGATTTCTATTTTCACTTCGTCACCATCAATAAAGTTCTTTTGATAATTTATAAATCTAAATGTGATTGTTTTTAGGGATTTTAATTGTAGAATTTGTTATTGTGTGACATTTGTCCATCTGTTGACATTTAAAATATATACCACTTGAACGCATTTAGCAGAATATTTTTTATGTAATTGTATTTGCTTCTATTTATTTTGATTCTGTACACGCAAACAATGAATGAAATAAATCTGCTCATCTTGGTCAATAAAATAAGTGTATTCAGGATTTTAACTGACAGAATTGTGTTTTTCTTTTAACTTTTTTAATCTATGATTGATCTCTAATATAAATCTTTTGTCTCTTTGTTAAAATATTAAAGTTTGGCTTTGTATTTTGCCCTGCAGGAATTTATACTACAGAAAAACAGTTATTTTGAGTCTGGGTGGACGGATCGGACGGCATCTGCAGCCAGTTTCTTAGGATCCACTGTGGCATGGACCTTTACAAGAGATCCTTCCTGTCTACAGCCATCAGCATCTATAACATCTCTTAATGAAATGAGGATAAGGAGCTACAACAACAAATAATTTACCTTTGGGATTAATAAAGTGTTTTTGAATTTGAATTTAGAATGCTCATAATTAGGATGCACAATAAATCAGCATGGCACCGGATGATATTAGCAATAAAGTTAAATATCGGCCATCGGCCATTCCATCAAAATAACTCACCGATATAAAAGGCGCTGTTATATATATATATAAATAAAAAAATAAGGGAATGTTTTTGTATGACAGCCCAGTTGCAGCACCAGCACAACGTTATGACATCACACGCCGTTGAGTTTAGATTTGTGAAAATTTACAAATTTCCACTGTCCGAGTGTTGTTGTGTTAGAGAGAGTAAATGTCATGAATAAATGTGAGATTAAACATAATCCATGTTGAAGTGTTGCATCATTTTCAGCCCCCTTTTTGTCATCTGCATGTGGTAGCAGGCCAGACGGACAAAGACCATGCAGACTAATGTCGTATTTTAATTCCACAGCAGAGAAAGATATGTAGTCTCTGTAAGTAGGTCTAGGGAAAAATATTGGTATTGGTATCGGTTATAGGCCAAATAAGTTTTAACAATGGCATATCGGATATCGGCCAAAAATCCAATATTGATCCCAACTCATAATATTTTAGGGTAAATCTGACTAAACTAAAGGGAACAATAAGAGGGTTGTTTTTAAGACAAATATACAAGTTTACTTGTCCAGACCCTTAAAGTTTGTTGTACATTTAAAGGTACAAAAACTATTTAAAAAAATGTATGTGCTATTACTGCACTTTAAATCTGGTACTTGGACTTCTATAAATTCTCAGAAAATTTCTCTTGTTTTTATGCATTATTGCTCCAGGGTACTTTTAATGGGTCTACTGTGTGTAAAAGTACCTTCGGTGTCAAGACTTTAATCAGCTCATTCAGAAAGCGAAACTTGGCGGCCTCACTGTGGAACCTCTTTCCACAGTTGTTCATGCACGCCTCAAGAACCTGGAAAGCACCAAAAATAAAAAAAGATAATTGTTGCCACACTTTGGAACTGAAACATGAAAAAAAAAAATCAGATTTTGTCACTACTTGTTTTTAAGGTTAACCAGCCTTAAATGTCACATGACATGAGTCTCATGAGCTTTGAAAAGTTAACATTTCATGGAAGAAAACTGATTCAAACCCTCAGACTGTGTCAATAACCAACTGGTTCATTTTCTTCATTCATGGGGTAAATTTGAGTTACAGACTTACTCACAAGATCAGTCTGTCAGAGTTAAAACAAAGACGTTTGTTCTTAGGAAATTAATGAACATCTTTGAAGGGATTGTAGTAAATGAAAAACATGACATTTAACATGGCCCATGCATGAAAACATTCATTAGATTTGCCCACACACCGATATAAAACAAGAATAAGATGCCAATGAATGTCAAAACGTTAAAAAAAAATTCAATAAAGACATAGAGCAAAAAGAGGTATTTAAAAAGTATCTGCATCGTGTGTGTAGAGTATTTGTAAGTGCGAGTATTCTGGTTACTGACGGTGAGAGCCTGCAGAGCTTCTTTCTCCTGTGGAGACTGGATTTTATGGGCAAGCAGACGAAGTGCCACCTGTGGCCTGAAAACAGAAAACATTTAATTCAATTAAAATGTGCAAGTAAATTCCAAGTAGCAACACTGCTCACATGCCATCTTCAAGGAACTGCCGTGTGAGCTAAAAGCGAACAGGAATGGACTTGACTGTTCTTCAACACACTGGGGGAAGAAGCACAACTCTGCTCAAATGATGAAGACGTTTATCACTGCTGGGTAGAAAGCGTTTCAACGTACTCCGTGGTTTGGAAACTGTTCAGAGGCAGACAGGGCAGCTCTCAGGAGGGTGGTCAACACCTTCCCCTCTGATAGACATCTACAAACTACATTGCCACGGTAAGGCCTGCAGAATTATCAGACTATTCTCGCCCTTTCTATCATGTTTTCACACTACCACCCCGTGGAAGACATCCCCGAAATGCTGCACAGGAAGACTGAGGAACAGCGTTTACCATTCAGTTGTCCTGGATTGTAAATCCTGACCCCCAGTCCCACTGCTACAAATTTTATTGTGAGAGGGTATGAATGAGCGATGGAAACATCTTTTGGAGATTCTTAAATGGCAGGGCATTCTTTGAATTTGCTTTTGACTTTACATCTCGTTCATAGTGAGAGCAGCAAAGGCGCAACGGAGTTCTTCCTCTCTGTTTGTGTGTTCCACCATCTCAGCGTGCTGCAATAGGAACCGTGGTCTCAACTTGTGAAGCAATTCTTCTTGTTACAATATAAAGCAAACATCCTGGCTAAAAACAAAGGAGAGAAAATTGCTGCAAAGTATGGGAACTGTTTCAAATCAAACAAAGGTAAGTACACTCTGCTTACCCCTCAGTCTCCTGGTTGACAAGCTGGTAGAAGCCCTGAATACAGTCCCATTTGTCCTCCTCATTATTTGGATCTGTGGCTCTGTCTGGTACAATAAGACAAACAAATTAGTTATGAAAAAGACAACTATTGAGGAAATAAAAATAACTTGGAAAAAAACTATAAATAGCTGATTATTCAACATGTATTTTTAAGGTCTGGTGAGAGTTCTGCGATGGTGTTAAATTCAAAGCAGTCTGCTCCTCAGAT